GAGAGAGAGAGAGAGAGAGAGAGAGAGAGAGAAACAAGAGAACAAGCTTTACTGTTATCTTCATCCCGCTGTGTCAGTGAATAGGGGGGCTGCCCCTTGGAAATGGCACACATGCACACTTATTCCTGCAAACCGCGTTTCCTGTTATGGCCGTTTTCCTCTCTGAAAATGCGCAGCCAGTTTTGTTTGTATTATAAAGACAGAAGTGGATGGGAGAGGATGAAGTGAAAATGATGAAAAGGAAAGGTCAGACAAAGAGAGAGGGAGAGCTCTCATGGCCATTTCTTTATGCTCTCAAGGCCTACTTTAATTTATGGATTGGGTTTGAGTTGAATTGGAAACACCCGGGGTCTGATTGGACCATAAATAATCCCCACAGGAGTAGATATAAATGCCGAAGAAGCAGCATGCCTGAGATTCTCTCCATCTCTTTCTCATCTGCGGTGAACCCTCACAGATGATTGATGCGTTGGGTGTCCTGTTGTCACAGCTGTACGACTTTAGCTGAATGCAAACACGAGTACAACCACGCATGAATGAATGCATGCACGCTGCAAATGTGAATTTGTGAATGCTCGGCACGCACATACTCCATCCTCTCCTGCACAGACTAGTAGCATCACAGCACCATGATGTGCTCAAGCATCATGCTCCCTCTTTGGGAGAACCTATATCATACTGCTCTGTCACTGCAACATAACACAGCTAAAGAGAAGGGGGAGAGGGGGATTCGGTAGCAGTGGGAGGTAATAACCAACCTGTCAGGCCATTAGGATTGAAGTAGCTAAAGAGGTGGATGGGGGACAGGTAGGGGAGGATGCTTGTGATCATTTAAATCACATGTCCCCTTCACAGCAAGTGAAACCCTGAGGGGGTGAAATGTGAGGCAGCTAAGTGATAACATTACCAAAGTCATGGTTGTTTTTACAGCATCTTGTCCTCAAATTGTTTTCCTTGTCTCCTTTCCTCCTCCCGTTTTCCCTTTTTAACAAGGTTATGAAAATCCTTCTGCCTCTGCGGTCGAATAACGCGACCTCCCATCTTTTTTTATTACATTAACAATTAAGTGTGAAAAAAACTAGATCACAGCTGGAGGCGCAATCACAGCTGATGCACATCTGCCAGCACTCGAGGACGATGAAACATTAAAGACGCAACCCACTGTTCAAAATGTCGCTCCGGCGTTGGCAGCTTAATTTGCCCATTAGATAATCTCAGCCGAAAGTGACATTTACATGAACGTGCTCACACACACACACACACACACTTACATAACATGTAAAGGAGAATCCCTCGTGAAGCAGCAAACATCGTTATCCCACAACATTAAAACCACTTGCAGGTGAAGCGAAGTGTTTGGCTCCTGGCATTCATGTGGACATTAATCATTACCAATCTAAACGTGGTTGTTTACTCAGAATCCCTCACAAATACCTTGTTCAAAAACAGTGAGCCTGCGAAACAGCCCCAGCCTTATAAACTGTGAAAAAGCCAGAATATAACTGAGCCACAAGATGCCACACCACAACCCTGAATGTAAACCTTGTACTGAATTTCCCAGAGGAACCCACCTGAGGGATTAATAAAGTTTCATCTAATCTAATCTAATCTAATCTAACACACAGGCCCTGCCAAACCTGAAGGTGCCAGACACCACAGGGGTCCCGATGGCCCCTGATCAGTCAGAAATACTGATCGATGCCTATTAAGTATTAGGTTGGTTTTATTGTTAAGGCTAATTTGGTGTATAAATACAGCACAATCTGATCCAGAAGACTATCGCTCTGCAGTGGTGATGATGATAATGATGGTGATGTTATTAAAAAGTGTGCAAACAGTGTGTCAGCACTGTTATCTATTTAGATGTACCGGTAATGCAGACTGCAAACGCCTCATGCAGCTCAAACTATCTCACGCTGCTCTTATTTAACAAACACTGCAAGTACATTTGAAAGAAAACAGGAAGTGTCTTTCTTTCTACCTTTCTAACATGTAAACTTCTCTGTGTGGAAGCACCACAGGAGCCTTGAATTCCTCAGACAGAGTCAAACGCACTCAGAGGAGCTCAACAGATACCTTTTCTCCATCTGATATTTTGTCTTTTCCTGTGCCTCCATTTCATGTCTTCAATTGCATGTCAGAGAGAAGCTCTGTTTGATTTTTATGGAGTAGTTCAGTGTTTAATATGCTTCTTTTTTTTGAGCATGTTGGTTCCAAGATTCAGTTTCCCCTCAGCTGTGATTTTTCTAGCAGTGCGTCACTAAGATTTCCGTCACAGTTCCTCGCTGTCAGCCTATTAGAACAGGACATGAGCAGGAGCACAGCAGGGGAGAGACAAGCTGTCAGTCAGACACACGCACACACACACACACACACATGTGCGCACAAAGACTGCCCTTGTGTGTGAGACTGTAATTAGTAGCTGCCTGGGTTTGCAGTGACCTTTCTTTTCCTTTTTAAAAAATCCCCATTCAGGACCATAAATGTTGCAGCACCGCTAATGACTTTACTTTACAGCATCTTCATGGAGTTTTCATTTTTAAAGTCACTTGAGGTGTTATACTGTTGATCAGGTTAGTTATTTAGACAGACTCATTATGGATTTACATATGAATCGCTCAGCATAGGCCAGCAGACTCCTGAAGTATATTTAAATGAAACATTTATACGTGAAAGGTTTTAAAAAGCCTTTCCCCAGCTTGCAGTCCTGTGTCTTTTAGAAGAGAATGCTGGATGAGATCATTCCTCCTCTGTTTGCTATTGTAATTTCCAGTGATCGATCATCAGATAACTTTCAGAGTTTAGCATTTAAAAATAATGTATGTACTAGTAATGTCCATACTGTTAAAGGCTGATTATAGACACTTCTAAGCTTCCTGCAGACGTATCATTGCTTTACACATTTCAGACACTAAGAAAGAAATGAAAGAAAGTCACATTCATTTTAACTTTGACATTCAGTATTTAACTTGCAGAATAAAATCAACATCACAAGTCATCATTTGAGGTAGTTCTGGTTCACATAATGATGACTACATTTTTCTGCTGCTACTGAAGTGAAGTTGTTGTAAGAAGCTTGACTACAGCAAATCTATATCATTTCCTTGTTAAATATTAAAGGAAATCAGGCTTTTCACAGTTAAGTTTAATTTTATTTCATGAAATCTTGAGTTGCTGATGGCTTTAGTAAAATAAAAGGATTCTTGCAGTAGCAGTGCACTGTGAAATGTTGTAATGGGCAAGCAGAATTCTTATCAACAAGTGGCACTGGATCAGAAATCGCGTGCTGACTGTTTCCTGTAAACACTGTTGTGAGAAGGCCCTCGTCATTTTTTTCCGAATCCTTTCTGTTGCATACTTTCAAAGCTTTTTTTGAACCCATTAGAAAAATGAAAGCTGGGCCCTTTTGACTTTCTGACCCTGTAATGCTGACAAGAAATCCAGGTGGTATTTTAGGTTTATGAAGCTCTTTACTAAATGAATCAAATCTTTGAATCTCGGACTGCTGCATCTCGTCAGAGGAAAGCAAAAGAAGGAAGGAAATGGGTACACAGGAGGCGCAGTTGGTCTGCATAATAAAGTCAGATTTGATTCTTCTGACTGTGACACTCGAAATAACCCACATTTATCAAGTCATGTATACATGCAGCAGGCTTATCCATCAAGCTGCAGGAGATCAGGTCAGATCTGCAGAGAGAGGCAAGGGTAGATGGGGGTAAATGGTACTCCAGAGATTTAGTATTATATTTCTTTTTGTTAAAGAATGCGAATCAAATGTCTCTAAAGCTTCCTTCCTCCTTGCCTCTTTGCAACTCTTTTTTCTTGTAGATGCCAAAGTCTAAAACTAGTTCAAGATAACCTTGATGACATTACCCAGATTAGTTTTTGGAGGTTGGAGAGCTCACTTCACAAACACAGAAGACAACTGTTTTCTCAGCTGAAGTGGATGAGTAAAGCGACCTTTGGCTCCATTAGGTTTGAAGGTATGGCTACAGTATTCCCTCGATTATCGTGGGGGTTAAGTTCCACACAATAGGTGTAAAACCCACGCTCTTATAAACCCTTTTTACACTCTTAAACACACTTTTGAGACACATCCTTACGTATTCAGCAAGTCCACCAGGTAGTTTTGCATATTAAGCGCCTTAATTGTGCGAATAACACCATGAGCCATTGGCTGGATCAGCGATGGGGTGTAGTTATTAATTTTTTAGGCAGAAAATACTTATTTTACTGCAAAAATAATTGAGATCTAAAAAATTAAAATAGGTAGCAGAAACCCGCGATTTAATTAAATTCCCACAATATAAATTTACAGGTAAATTTGGGATGTCAGCGAAAGGTGAACTGCAATATGGTGCAGGAGTTCTGTATGTGAAGCTGTACGAGCTCACAGGGACACATGTGGCCATACAGACTACTAGACCACTACTGCTCTCTCATTGTCAAACAGCCCATATCCTCAGCTTGCCATTACCTCCTTTGAGTTTTTTTTTTTTTACACAAAAGAAAAGCATATATTAGATGGCC